ATCCACTTGGTCTTATATGCCTTTTGATATCCTAATCATATTTATTTTCATGTTTTGTTTTAGGCAGGGTTTTAAAATATATTTCCTCTGGATTAAATTTATCATACCTATGATTTTTTTTGTTTTTATTAAGTTTGATTTGCAACACTAGAATTTCTTATCTACATTGGAATTATGGTTTATTTTTCATATATCTATGGGATGGACACATTTTAACTTATTTTCTTTCTCTCTTTCTCCTCTGTTCTTACCTCTTATGTTTAACCAATTTGTGGTCACTGCCACCTGGTCCCTAGTACTTCTAGATCAGAATAAGTTTAATGGCATTTCTGAAGCACCTGCTCCCACTTGAGGATACTGAAATTCAGTAACTAAGCTCAGGAACAACTTGACTTTGTTCCTAGTCAGGAAGCTTTTTCAGCCTACTTTCATCTTCCCAAGTATACACTATTTAATGTAACTGTAGCCTCATGTGTTTGGTTTTTGATATGGACACAGCCACAAAAAGCACATTGAAATCTATTACAGTTGTCATGTCAGAGACATGCACATGATTCTGTAAGAGCATAGAAGAGGGTCATCAAATATAACCTGTTTGTCCTGAGAACAAGACTGTGGTACAGTTGTTAAGTGTGAATATATTTTTATTTTATCTTCACTCTTTATTAAAAAAAAATTTAGTTGTAGATGGACACAATTCCTTTATTCTATTTATTTTTATGAGGTGCTGAGGATTGAACCGAGTGCCTCACATGTGCTAGGCAAGTTCTATACCACTGAGCTACAACCTTGGTCCCTTGCCTTCACTCTTAAGTTATAGATATTTAACAGGGTGTAAAATTTGAAGTTGACAGTTATTTTACCTGAAAATATTTTCTCTCAGGAGAAACTACACTGAGAAAGTGATAGTGGATCTAAAATATTAGATGTAGAAGTACATTCCAGATAGAACCAATAATATGTTCAAAGACATAGTGCCCAGCAAGAACACAATTCCTTATATTTAGGGAACTGTCCAAAAATGTGCTTGTAGCAAAGTGTTAATGACTGTCATGAAAATATAGAGTTAAAGAGCATAACATTTTTATCCAGGTTAACAGAATGTCCCCATTAAGCCATGGAATACTTTCACCAGTAATTGCCTTAGAGACCTCTGAACATTAGACTTAAAATAATAATAATCACAATCATTTCCATGGCAAGAGAGAAGTAAAAACTGTCAGTAGGAGGCTATCACACTTAGAAAAAATATAATTGCCTGAGAGGAAGCAGGAGCAATTGGGATAAAGAGAAGATAATCTGTCTCCCTTGTATACTATTGGAGACTCTCCATATGGTTTTATTTGGTCAAGGCAGAAAGTGTAGGCATTGGTTCTTCTAAGTGTTTTTAGAAGTGATTCTTATAATTGTATCAGACATGATAATCTGATATTTTTTCTAGATTATATTGCTAATATGCTTAGGTCACATTATAAGAATCAGCTAGGCAGGACCATAAATTAAAGCAAACTGGCAGGTAGAGTTGGCTGGGACCTGGCATTAGACATAATCTTTGTGAAAATGAGCACAGAGATAGGTTTTAAAGAGGATTTAAGTCTGAAATGGCAGGTTTAGAATCCAGAGAGATAAGATAATGTCAGGTCATGATCTGAGAAAACAATTAAAAACAATAACATCCCACTTCAAGAAGCAAGGCTTTTCTAGGCAACCTGGCTATAGGAATCTCAGAAGAGTTGACATTTAAAATGTTTTTGCAGGAAGGGAATTAGAATCCAGGAAGCCTATCAATAAGTGAAAGAAATTTCAAAAGGAATCAAAGCCAGATACTAACTTGATCCTAGCACAAGCCTCTATAAAGCACCTAAAGCACCTATCGTCTCTCAGACAAAGTAATAAACCAGTACTGCAGAAAGCACTACTTGAAGAAAGACACATGGGCCTCTAAGTTGAAATTCACAGGAGCTTCAGATTCCTGTTCAGGAATCTCTCATTGGAGACAACTGCTAGAACCCAGATGACTTTAGGTAGGTGTAGTTATTTTTTGTTCATTGCTCTAGCAGAGTGATTTGCTCGAGGTATAACACCATTCCCCTTAGAAATGTTTCTGAAATTCGTGGGAGTAGTCAGGCTATCTCAATGATTAAGGGATGCTACTTGAATTTAGAGAAGGGACATGAAGAAAATTAAATGAACTACATACCTGGAACTCACAGGATTCTTGAACACCATGCCAAACATTCTCATAAGTGAAAAAAATTCTTTTTAATTATTTGGAAAAAGAATCCAACTGGTATTAAGTTATGTGCAAGTATTTTTAAATATAATGAATGTCAGTGCAAAAACTAAATTATAACAAGATTATATTTAACTTTGTTTAGAGCCTTACCAAGAATCAGTGACTACTTAGAAAATCACACAACTCAACACTAATGCTGCTCATGACATTTGAGTCACCAGTACCACATACCTGAATCATTTCACATTTGTAGCAGCTGCATTCATGGGGCTTTGTGAAAAGGAAAAAAAAAAAACACAATAAAACAAATTCTTGATTTCTTTATGAATTCTATTATACTGGATCTTGATAATTTACATTTAATTAGATATTATTTTTTATTTATTTTTCTTTCATTTGTCATTGATTTTTAAAACATTTTACATGGAAGTATTTTGAATATTAATGCATTTTTAATATAAGAAAGGGAGAACATGAAATATTATTAAATGAACTTGAGAAGTACTAGATAGCTGTGAAGCACTTTTTTATCAATTCCATATTATCTTTCTGGGCTTGTTCAGATACTAGACTAGTGTGGATAGGATTGTTACAAAGGCTCTGGAATAAACAAAGGAAAATCAGTTGTAGTTAAAATGTGTTCAGTTTATGCTGTTTTATATGATTGCCTCCAGATACGGGTAATTTGAGTATCTCTAGTTGATGCTACTCTCTGTTTGCCTCCAAGTGCTGTCTAACTCCCATTTTCAGGGCCGTCTTACCCAACATTTAGATGATCCTACAGTATATCCTGTTTCTCTGATTTAAAACTAAGGAGAAATACTAGGGTGTTAAGGAGAGCAAGATATAGTCCATGCTTGGATAATTATGTCAAGATAGATTCCATTGTCATGTATTACTCAAAAGAACCAATAAAAAATATTTTTTTTAAAAAAAGGACTAAGAGAATAGTGTCCAGAGTATATCAGTTGCCTTTCTTCTAAGTCTCCTTTCACATTTTACCTGAAGACCTATTGTCTCCTAACCAGATGTTTGAATCCTGATTAGTTGTGTGCTTTCCCCGTGGAGGATGAGACCAATACCTCTAAGGCCCAAAATTGGTCCAAATATAGAGGATGGTGATGCCATATGTGTTTCACGAGGGGTTGAAAAAAGTTGTTCTTCATATTTTGAGGAGATGCGGATCTGCTGGTCTGAAAATGGCTCAAGTTAAAAAATGAGTGGGCATGGTTTTCAACATAAATGATGGTGGGTAGAGCTGGGGTGAGGGTTTCTATGTGGACTGAGGTTAGTATGGTGTGAACTCGCCCTCCAGACTCAAGGGAGGGGGTTCTCTCCTTATCAGTTTGTCCTGAGGTGACGCAAAAGGGAAAAAGCAACTGGTAGGACTTGAAAGCTGTCAGTAGTCAGATAGCAGAAATGGAGTCAAACTCTTAATTAGGTGAATTTATAGTAAAAGTCAGTCACACAAAAATATATAACAAGAATGGCAGCACTCATAAACAAAGAGGAGGAGGAAGAATAGTAGCAGTAGTAGTAGTGATAGTGGTATTCAAATTCAAGAGCTAGCAGTCTTGGATCTGTTTTCCAAGTTGCAATTTATTTGCTAGGATCCCAAGTTCAAAGCCAGCCTCAGCAACTTGGAAAGGCCCTAACCAACTTATAAAGACGCTGTCTCAAAATAAAAACAATAAAAAGGGGTGGGGATGTGACTCAGTGGTTAAGCACCCTAGGTTCAATCCCTTGAACCAAAAAAAGAAAAAAAAGTTAACTTTTCCCAAATTCATAATTCAGAATTTTATAGATCCTAAACCTGCACACGATGCTCTAAACTTCGACAAACCTGCAAGCTGAGATGACCTGCTCACATCCCCAACACCATGCTTGCTCATCACTTCTCCAGCAAAATTATAAAACTTAAGCCTAGGCTGCCATATACAGTCCATTTTTATTCCCACTTTTTCTGTGAAGTTTTTACTACTTTCAAATTACCTTCATCATAAGACGACTTAGACTGTGAACTAAGTAAAATCTCATACGTGGAACGTAAAAGGAAGCACACTTAAGTGTTCTTTCCACTCTTCCCCTTTCTTCCTTACACCTTTTCTCCTCTGATTTCCTTACTGAGTACATGAATCTACTGATGGAACACTTAATGGTTAATGTTTTGACATATTAATTAATTTATGGAGGACATGTCTTATTCCTTGAAAACATGTTTATTTGCATTATATCAATTTCCCTTATACTTTAGCATCATTAGCACTAAGTAGTGCTTGAGCAAATAATTGAAAAGAAAGGAATATACAAGGAATGCATGTGGAACAGCATGTTTTTATGTATAGCATTCAGTTAGTGACACAATATTAGTTTGTTACTTTTCTTTGTTGTTATTTTTAAGATTCTAGGAGTATTATAAACTTTTAGCCTTTTTAAAATGTTTATGTTTAATAATTTCTTTAGCTCTGCTTTGCAAGATGAAAACAAAATATATGTTGAAAAATATATATAAATGAGATATTTGTTTTTCTATTGCATATATCATAAATTTAAAATATTTTTGGTAGATAAAATTATTTTTAAATTTCTGCCATTTATGAAAAACAATGTAGTTATACATTGACTATTATATTAGTTATACCTTCTTTTGAAAATTTGTTGATTACACAAAGCAGTAATCTTGAATATAAACATAGTGAGGTAGAGAACAATGTATCTTGCTCTTTTGAGGAATTAAAATGTGCATCTTTTTTGTTCCTTACAGAAAGTGTGGACTATGGGCCAGTGTTTGTACAAGAACCAGATGACATCATTTTCCCAACTGATTCTGATGAGAAGAAGGTAGCACTGAATTGTGAAGTTCGTGGCAACCCAGTTCCCAGCTACAGGTAGATAAAACAATAATTATCATTGCTCGTTAAGTCTGAAAAAAATTCCCATCAATGAGATACACTCCCAGGGAGTATCATAATGTCTTAGATAATTTTTACATAGGTATCTTCTTATTTTTTCCTAAGATGGCTCCGGAATGGAACAGAAATAGATTTGGAAAGTGATTACCGCTATAGTTTGATAGATGGCACCTTCATCATAAACAATCCAAATGAAGCAAAGGACTCTGGTCATTATCAGTGTTTAGCAACCAACACCTTTGGAAGTATTCTGAGTAGAGAAGCCACACTTCAGTTTGCCTGTGAGTAAAATATATGATTTTTTTCCTATATGTGGTATATATACATGTAGTTTTAATTTTTAGCTAAATTAAAGCTTGAGACTGTAAATTTTAAAACACTGCTGAAAACTATGGTAAGGATTAAATCTATGCAAACAATTCACTTTTTCCTGAAGTAGTTTGAATTTCCCTAAAATATTTGCTTTTCACAAATTAATCTGATACATTAGTCTGTGAAGTTAAAATCCTATGTATTAAAGAAGACAAAGTTTTAGAATTCAACTTTCTTTTGTAATCTAACTTCTCTATTTTTCAAAAATATCTATTTACTTGCTTTTATTTTTCTACAAAGTCATAATCACTATTCTTTATAGACTCTTCCAAGCATAAGATGGCATATTCTAAAAATTCTGCTTAGAATTATATGATCAAAGAAATGTTCCTGAAATGTGAATATTTTAGATTCTTACTATAAAATTCAGTGTGTTAATTTGTGCACTGAATAAATAGTACCATATATAGTTTTGTGTATATATACATATATATAAATAATGTGTGTATATATATGTATATTCATGTATATATATATATATATAAAGATACCATAGTTTTATGTATATATATGCACATAGACTCAATCATATATGTATATATGTGTATATGTGTATGTACATATATATACATTCATGTGCCACATAACATTTTAGTCATTGATAAATTGTGTATATGAGTGTTCTCATATCACCTTGTGATATCATAGTTTTCTTAGTCTGTATAAGTACACTCTGTGATCTGTAATGTTCACATAATGGCAAACTGTCCTTCTGATGCATTCTACAGGTTACCCCATTGTTCATCAATGCATGTATATATCTGTGTGTTATACACACAGACATATATGTATATATGTGTATATATACATATATACATTTAAAATTTCTATATATAAACATTTAGAAACAAACATATTCTAATGTGTATATATATATAATATAAATATTTTTCAAATATAGGTCATATACCTAATTAATTATATTAATTTCTTAGAAACTCTTAAAATATTTCACATTTGAGGAGGGCTTACACCAAAGTGAAGATAGGCTACCATATTAAAAAAAAAAAAAAGAAAACTTTGTTATATCATTTTGTGGAAAGTAATCCTACTTAAATTTGATTTTTTTAAGATCATACAGAGAAAAGGCCAGTGATAACTATATTAATACATGTAATTGTATTGGTTACATTATCATAAAATGATTTTTAAGTTAAAATTACACCCTGAAGAATGCAATAATTTATTTTCTCTAAATATTCTTTCTCAAATATCATTTCTAATTAACCTAGAATCCAGGCACACTGTTAAAGTGTGAAAAAGAAAATAAAAATCAAAGGGTTGATAACGGATATGGTTTGGAGACTCCTGAGCTAGGTCCTAGGAAAATCTAAATATTATCTTTTAAAGTAGACATGAATAAGGACTTTAGTTAGGTGCATTTACAAATACAAAAAGTACCAAAATAACAACCCAAATACATTTCTTTTGTTTTAAAAAACAATATGTATTTTATCACAGACCCTATTACTTTTCAGAATGCACCTAGTAAACTACTATAAAAAACAAAAACTCTAATTGCTCCACTATTCAGCAGCATAGCCTTAACATGACAGATACAGCAAGTACAAAGAATATGGTATATAAATATTAATTGCTGAATCTGATAAACAAGTATATCAATTAGCAGTAGCCTACATATTATTTGTTTCTATTTGGATACAGCCAGCCATGCCAAGTATTTTTATGTGTGCTTTAGAACAACAGTCTGTTTTCTTTGATGATCAAAATGTCCATTTCACTGTGATTTCCTAGCCTTCCTGTCTTGAATATTGACAGTTATCAAATACCCATCCACTTTTGGAGCATGCACTCTGGCACCTATACTTACAGATACATGATCAGGCATGGAAAGCTATAATCTATTGAACATAAATCTGTCCTCAGCTTCTTTTAAGATAGTATTTTCATATTTTTAAAGTAAAGATCATGGTCAGCAGTATCTGTGCATCCATTGGTTGGGTCTTGTGACCCTACCCCTTCACTTTCAACCCACCTAATTAAGGGGATGCTTTGGATACGAAGTATTCCCTGAGTTAGGTTTCCTCTGGGTGTTCCTGGCTGAAGGGGACAGTTGCTTTCTCTCTTTCGTTCGTTGGTCCTTCCTTCCTTCCTTCCTTCCTTTCTTTCTTCTTGCCATTGTTCTTTTTTTAAAAAAATTGTTTTAATTAGTTACACATGACAGTACAATGACCTTGACATATTATACATTTGAATCAGATGGGATATAATTTCTCATTTTTCTGAGTATACAGGTTGCAGAATCACATTGGTCAAGCATTTACATATATACACACAGTAATAATAATGTCTGTTTCATTCTTCTATCCTTCCTATCTCCCCAACCCATCCCCTTCCCTTCCATCACTTCTGTCTACCTAATCTAGGGTAATGCTATTCTTTTTTTTTCTCACATTTTCATACATGTATTCTGTATAATAGTGAGGGTCTCCTTGCACCATCCATGCAATTCCCTTTCTTCTTTCCTTTCCTTCCCATCCCTCTTCCCTATGTGGAATTAATCTTCTTCCCATTCTCTTCCTCTCTTCCCCATTTTGAGTCACCCCCCTTATATCAGAGAAGACATTCAGCATTTGTTTTTTGGGGATTGGCTAACTTCACTTAGCATAATCTGCTCTAATGCCATCCATTTCCCTGCAAATGCCATGATCTTATTATTTTTTAGTGCTGAGTAATATTCTATTGTATATATATATGCCACATTTTTTTATCCATTCATCCATTGAAGGGCATCTAGGTTGGATCCACAGTTTAGCTACTGTGAATTGTGCTGCTATATACATTGATATGGCTGTGTCCCTGTAGTATGCTGTTTTTAGATCTTTGGGGTATAGTCTGAGAAGAGGAATAGCTGGGTCAAATGATGGTTTCATTCCCAGCTTTCCAAGGAATCTCCATACTGCTTTCCAAATTGGCTGCACCAATTTGCCGTCCCACCAGCAGTGTATGAGTGTACCTTTTCCCCCGCATCCTCGCCAGCAGTTGTTGTTGTTTGTCTTCATCATCGCTGCCATTCTTACTGGAGTGAGATGATATCTTAGAGTAGTTTTAATTTGCATTTCTCTGATTGCTAGAGATGATGAGCATTTTTTCGTATATTTGTTGATTGATTTTATATCCTCTTCTGAGAAGTGTCTGCTCAGGTCCTTAGCCCATTTGTTGATTGGGTTATTTAACTAGTAAATGAATTTAGCAAAGTGGCAGGATATAAAATCAACACCCATAAATCAAAGGTACTCCTGTTTATCAGTGACAAATCCTCTGAAAAGGAAATGAGGAAAACTACCCCATTCAGAATATCCTAAAAAATAAAATAAAATACTTGGGAATCAACTTAACAAGAGAGGTGAAAGATCTATACAATGAAAACTATAGAACCCTAAAGAGAGAAATAGAAGAAGATCTTAGAAGATGGGATGATCTACCTTGCTCATGCATAGGCAGAATTAATATTATTAAAACGACTGTACTACCAAAAGCACTATACAGATTCAATGCAATTCTTATCAAATTACCAGTGGCATTCCTCACAGAAATAGAAAAAGCAATTATGAAATTCATCTGGAAAATTAAGACACCCAGAATAGCTAAAGCAATTTTTAGCAGGAAGAGTGAAACAGGTGGTATTACTATACCAGATCTTAAACTATACTACAGAGAAATAGTAACAAAAACAGCATGGTACTGGCAATAAAACAGGCAGGTGGACCAATGGTACAGAATAGAGGACACAGAGACTAACCCACAAAACTACAACTACCTTATTAGACAAAGATGCTAAAAGCATGCACTGGAGAGAGAATAGCATCTTCAACAAATGGTGCTGGGAAAACTGGAAATCCATATGCAACAAAATGAAATTGAATCCCTGTCTCTCACCATGCACAAAAGTTAACTCAAAATGGATCAAGGATCTAGGGATTAAACCAGAGACTCTGCATCTAATAGAAGAAACAGTAAGCCCTAATCTCCATCACGTGGGGCTAGGCCCAACTTCCTTAATAAGACGCCTATAGTGCAAGAATTAAAACCAAGAATCAACAAATGGGATGAATTCAAACTAAAAAGATTTTTTTTCTCAGCAAGAGAAATAATATGTGAGGTAAATAGGGAGCCTACATCCTGGGAACAAATTTTTACCCCTCACACATCAGACAGAGCTCTAATCTCTAGGGTATACAAAGAACTCAAAAAGCTAAACACCAAAAATAAATAAATAAATAAATGAACCAATGACAGTTACTTTCATAGGGGCAGGGACGTCTGCCTTGGATTTACTTCCCTACCTAGACTCTTTCATGCTTATACTTATAATTTTAAAAATCAACTCCTTTGAATTTAGCACCTTTTTAATTTTTTTTTTCCGTTTATTCTTTGGGAGGATTTTAAAAAAAATGGGTGGTAGAATGAATGAGGACTTTAATTTCCCCTTTTTTATGTCTGGGTTGGAGTGTGGTACTATAATGTTCTGAGAATTAGAGAAATTTGGAGAGTTGGAGACAAGATGAGGTAGAAATTTAGAGAGAAAAAGACAAAGGGGGCCTAGGGTTGTGGCTCAGAGGTAGAGCACTTGCCTAGCATGTGTGAGGCACTGGGTTCGATTCTTAGCACCACATACAAATAAATGAATAAAATAAAGGTCCATCAATAACTAAAAAAAATTTAAAAAAAAGAAAAAGCAAAAGGGACTTCCAAAAGAGAATAAGAAGAGTCAAAGATGAATTGAGATTTAATAACCTGATGACAACTTTCCTTTACATCGTAATTTTCTTAGGTCCTAGCTTATAGAGAGATGAGAATAGACTCACTATTTATTTTTGATAGAATATTTAATGCTTGAGGAGACTTTTTGGAGAAATACTCAATGCTTTTGGCACTTTAAATCTGA